TTATATAATAGTATAAAAAACGAAAATATATATGTACGACAAACATTTCTTCTCACTTTGTCGGGTCCATTGGATCGTGTTAATGAGAGAAAAATTAAAAATGAAGGAAAAACACTAGACGTTTACATTATTAACACACCACACTCTACTTGCTTCTATCAGCATCATTTATGGCTTGGCCCTTTGAATTTCGCTCACCCTTATACTCAAGAACATTCCTGCAGGCGCTAATGTGCTAAATCAATAATTTTAAGTTATGGGAATATGGATCTGAGTTTCTGAACATCTTTCTTGTCGGGTCCAAACACCTGCATGGGCGACCCCCACCCCACCCAGAGACTATTTTTCCAGTTCGTCCTTGGCTGTATCTCGCCAGTTTTGTTTCCACCACGCCAACCAAACGTTATACAGGTAGATCTCAGGACTTCCCATTGAGTCATCTAAACATTGATATGATTTCTTTTAACTGTGCTTCATTCATTGTAAGAAACTATATAGCATAATCCGCAAATAGCCTGAAAAACACTCAAGGTTCACGAAACAAAAATGCGATACCTAATTTTGAGCAACAATCGTAAATCGTCTGGAATGTTGCAACAAACATTACACTCACCTGATAAACTTCTCGTATGTTAGGTTAAGCCCCACTCATTATCGGCAGTATTTGTACTCTCCCACACCGTGCATAACCCACCGTCTCTCCTCTCCATCATTGTTTTGATCGCCTTGTGGCTATGTTCTTCCTTTCAGGGTGTTGGTCGCCAAAGCTTCCATTCTACTAATCTAGTCCTTGTCATACAACTCTATAGCTTTTTATAATATTATGTCTAGTGGGAGCTTCAGAGATGCTATTTTCCCTTAGTACTTAGATTAGTTACGACTTTTATTTTTTACCATTATTCTAAACATTGAAAGTGTTCCGGTATATTTCCTCATACTTTATATTAAAACTGGAATAAACGACAAAGAATTAAAAAAATATATATATGTGTTCAGCTCAAAGACTTAGATCTGCATCTTAGCGTGACGTCAGAAGATCCTTGCGCCTGATTTGATAGTTTAGGTTGAGGTCTACCGATGGGTAATAGCCAGTGGAATGAGATGCTTAGGTTATTTACTCCAGACTATAGCCGTGATGCGCCCCAAAAGATGGCAAGATGTATTAGGAAAAGATAATATATTGTTCGGTATTTTTAGCTCAGTGTAAACGCAGGTGGTTGCTAAAGAAAAGGTGAAGTTTCTCTCTCTTACCTAGTGATTTTCCTACCGTCCCCCCCACCCCCCTCCGCCTCTCTCTCTCTCCTCCCTGCTCCTTCACTCTCTCCCTCCATATAGGTAAGACGCTGTTCTCTCTTTTATATATTTTTCCCTTACTGTGTGAACCATTACGAGTCATGGCATATGGTTCACTTATCCTAATGACCAGTTAGCCATTGTTGGGGGTCATGTGGTGAAGTGAATACACTGTAAAAATAATGGAAAGATTTTTTTAGTATCCCTAAGGGTAAACCATTGAAGATAGAAAAGGTATCTGCAAAGGGTGCATTAGCATTCTCAAGACCCTTACTCTACAAAAGGGCACATAAACATCAACACAATTAAAACCCTTAAGTTACAAAAGGGTATATCAAGGCGAAGAGAAGCCCCATGAAAATAACACGACACTGATCTTCCTCACATTAGTGTTTGTACCCCGCTTATCCCTCTCCACCGTCCAGTGAGACACACCTTCAGTTATACCCTGGATTTCCCCATACACAATATGGTGCGATACTTGTGAGACTCCCGACCGTTGGGCACGAACTCACGATATTAAGTTCCCACTTTGCAATAGTTATTTCCCACAAAGACAGGTCATGACTTCTCTTTCTAGCACACCCACGCCCATCACCAACACTGTCATAAGAACATAAGAACATAAGAAAATAAGGAGTCTGCAATAGGCCGGTTGGCCTGTGCATGGCAGCTCCTGTCGAGAGTTACTACCTCTCTCTTTCATCCATGAATCTATCTAGCCTCCTTTTGAAACTTTCCAGAGTTCCCGCACTTACTACAAAGTTGCTAAGCTTGTTCCACTCGTCCACCACCCTATTTGCGAACCAGTTTCTTCCTATCTCCCTCCTAAACCTAAACTTATCCAACTTGAATCAGTTGCTCCGAGTCCTATCCTGCTCGGAAATTATAAGAACTTTATCTATATCCTCTTTATTGATTCCTTTCACTCACTTAAATACTTCTATCATATCTCCCCGCACTCTTCGTCTTTCTAGGGAATGCAAGTTAAGTTTCTTTAACCTATCCTGATATGGAAGGTTTCTAAGTCCCGGAATCATTTTTGTCATTCTTCGCTGCACCGACTCTAGTGAATTTATATCCATTCTATAATAGGGGCACCAGAACTGAACCGCATAATCGAGGTGCGGCCTGACTAGCGCAAGATATAGTTGCAATAAGACCTCTGCACTCTTGTTACTTACACTTCTAGATATAAAACCCAATACTCTGTTTGTCTTATTTCGAACATTAACGCACTGTTTTCTAGGCCGTAGGTCCGGGCTTGCAAGTACCCCTAGGTCTCTTTCACAAGTCGACTTCTCTAGGTTGATGTTGTTAAGGCTGTATAACAAACTCATTGTCACTTAAAGTAGCTATAAAAGAAACAATAAACTTGATCCCGTGTTTCTGTGGCAGGCTCAGCTCCAGTCAGTCCGCAGATTGGCTATGAAAAAGAAAACAGAGTGTATCCTTGTGCTCATTGGTTCACTAGGCATATATGAAGCAATGGTGTTTTATATCTTCCTCTAGCCCATATTTCTTTCTTTCCTTTCATACTTCCATCTTCTCTTCGCTACACATCATCATGATTATATTCAGCTAAGGTGACCCAAGTAGCACATTTGTAATTAATCAGAATAATATTTACTCCAAAATAACTTTTCAGAGATGGAAGTGTTATCTGGCAACTTTAATGAGCTTATATATATATATATATATATATATATATATATATATATATATATATATATATATATATATATATATATATATATATATATATATATATATATATATATTAACCCACCGGGTCACTGACCCACATCGGGGCCTGGGGCGAAATGTAGTAATAATAATAATAAATAATAATAATAATAATAATAATAATAATAATAATAATAATAATAATAATAATAATAATAATAATAATAATAAGTTCAAAGTAAATATTTTTTTTAATAAAAAATACAAAATTAAAAATAAAATAATAACAATAACAACAATAATAATAATAATAATAATATTAATAATAATAATAATAATAATAATAATAATAATAATAATAATAATAATAAAGAACCATAAAGATATACAAAAATGAAAACAAAAATCAATTGTGAGAAACAATATATGTATGTTATGTTGTAAAAATTAAGAGAAACAATTGAGACCCTGCAATTGTGTGTAAATGAGGCAGAAAGACAGATGAGAAACCTGGGACTTGGTCACAATTTTCGTGAGGCCATATGGCAGCAGGGTCTACCATTAGAGAACACATTATGCTTCCAATATCTTCCCAGGTAGCTGCCTACTACCTACTACCTGCCATATGTCTCAATAAAACTAATTGTAGTCTAATAAAATACTTTTGGTGACTTTCGGTCATTTAAAGGAAAATTTATAGTTATTGATGTTTCGGTACACACTCAATGTTATATTGCGAGCAGTTACCAAAGAATGAACCGAAGATATCTAGAGACAGAAACAATTACCAGCATGTGATAATATAAGAACCAATTGCAACATAAGGGTATTATGGAAAGCAATATACCCTATCATAGCCAAAGAAGGGTGTAATGGAAAACAATATACCCTACCATAGCCAAACAAGGGTGTAATGGAAAACAATATACCCTACCATAGCCAAAGAAGGGTGTAATGGAAAGCAATATACCGTAGCAAGTCCAAAAAGGAGTATTTTACATATCAAGGGTTATTTTGCTGTAAATATACCCATTATGGCCTGAAATACCCTTTTTTTACCCTAGAATTGTTACAGTGTAGTCATGTTTTCGTGATAGTGTTTTATTTGTAGAGTTATTTGTGTATTTTAGTTTTTTGTGTGATAAACTTTTGTTCGTGTAATTTGTTTTTACTTTTGTGATAATCTTTTGTTTTTTTAGGTTTTTTCTCGCGTTCAATATTTTTTTTTTATTAATTCATTCATTTAGTGTTGATGGTGTTTTTGTTTCTGTAAATATGTTCATGTGAAACTTTTGTTTGTATGTTTTGTTTGTTTTTGTGAGTCTTAGTTTATGTGAGTCTTTTGTTTGTATATTTTGTTTGTTTTTGTGAGTCTTTTGTTTGCACGATTTGTTTGTTTTTATGATAATGATATGCTTTAGTTATAACCTAAACAATATCCACGCTTTAAACATTACCCACACAATAAATATTACCCACACCGTAAACACTTCCTACACCGAAAACACTTCCTACACTATACACATTACAAACAAAATCACAAACATGTCCACCCATAGCACCGCCCACTGTAGCCACACCACCGCCCTCTCCACCCAAATGGCCGACTATACCACCGCCCACTCACTCCATCCTTATCGCCACCCACACGAGTGCCCACTCCAGCCACACCACTCACTCCACCAACCATACCACTGCCCACTCTAGGCACACCACCCACTCCACCCACACCACCGCCTAAATTAGCCACACCACCACCCACTCCATCCACACCACCACCCACTCCATCCACACCATTACCTACTCCATTCATATCGCCACCCACGAAAATTAAAATTAGCACCGTGTATCACTCAGGGTAGGGCAGGTTGGGCATTAGGCCTGCGCGAGCCGTGAGGGACAGACAGGGGTTGGGGGGCTGAGGGTGGTGTTGGGTTGGTGGGGGCCTAGTCGGTGGGGAGGGGGTGTGGGTAGGAGCCCCGCCCCGCGTCGAGCACCAGGCGTCACCAGTGTTGGGTGGTCGTGTGTGGGATGCGGCGGCGTACGGGCGGCGTGATGGGCGCCAGGGACATGTGGGACGGCGAGTGGGCGTTCAGGAGTCTGTTGATGACCCTGCTACTTCCAGGTAGGTGCCTCACTCCCCCAGCCTCCCACAACGGTCCCACACTTTACCTGCTGCCTTTACACAATTATTGAGAACTGGCAACCGTAATGGGCGTTTAAGACACGCCCACTAAATCTTTGGTTAACATCCTGGAGTGGATTATCCAAGATTCGTACTCTATTGTTTCCCCATCATTTGGTCACCTACGATAAAGTCTCCTTGAGGTTTCCGTACCTTAGCTACTGTGTGTGAATATCATGTGTGTTTGAACCTCTACCGCTGGGGAGGAATTCTTACGTGTGTGAACCTATAATGAGAATCTTGGCACCTGCACTTATTCTGGTGGTGATCAACTACAGGTTTGAGTCGAATGATTTTTCCCCTTGTGTTGGTGCCTCCGGGTAATGATATAAACACGAAGTGAGGTGGTGTGTGTGTGTGTGTGTGTAGGGTAATGGTTGCTGTGAATGTTGTTATGTAAGTAAGGTGGTAGTGTTTTGAGCATGTGTGGGATTGTGACTGTTGTTGTGTGTGTAGAGTTGTGGCATGGCTGTTGTGGGGTGGTTATTTTGTATTCAGGATGGTGCTTGTTGTGTGTTGTTGTGGTAGTCGTTGTATGTGTAGTGTGATGGTTGTTGTATGCAGGGTGACCTAGATGTGTCTGTGTGGTAGGTAGTAGATGTATCTATGGGGAAGATGGTTGAGGTTGTTGTGTAAAATAATGATGGTCTATGTATATAATAATGTCACTAATACTGGTTGATACCTTTGAAAATACAAGCGCCAAAATAATATAAATTTACATAAAGATAAACATAATACATTTAACATACAGTAAGAGAGGTCGTGATGGCTTGCTAAGGTTACGGTATGGAAGAGCAGCAATTGTTGGGCGAGGAACCTTAGGTGGCAGATTGTGGCGGTTGAGATGGGCGGTGCAGCAGCTTTGTCAGAAATTGATTTTGAGAATGTATTGGGAGGATCAGTTTACCCGAGTGCACATTCTCTAGTTGTTTAAATTGTAGTGGTGGTAATATGTGTAGCGGGTATTTATTGTAGTTTACAAGAGATGGTGGAGGAGGAGTGTGGTAAGGGGTGATTTTTGTGGGTGGTAGTGTTTATGATTGTGAAGCGGTAGTCATTGTCTTGTGGGAAAAGGTTGTATACAGTTGGTTTGTCTGTGGGAGAAGTGGTGTTTGTTGTGTGTGTGGAATGCAATAGATGTTAATTGTTGTGCGTGGCTGTGTTAAAAACCGACTCCAAGAAGAGATTCGTCTATTAAAACAGCAAAGTCCCACATTTAACACACGAGACACGCGCCGCATAACTACATTAATAACGATAGTCTACTCGGTGCTCTTTCGAAACCATATTTTTTTTTACTTTTACCTTTACTTTGTGTAGTTTTCTTCCATGAGTTAGATGCGTTCTTACATTACAATAAAAGGAGGATGAAATTTCAGGTGTCGAGTGTTTGAGGGTGCGGCTGGGCTCTGGTGTGCGTGCTAGGGAGAGACATTTCCCTGACGTGTGCAACTTTTGTGTTGACCCTCAGTGTTGACCTACCTACCTACCTACCTACCTCCCTACTCCTCCCCACCTACCTACTCCTCCCCACCACGATTTTAGCCCTTCCTCCACTCCTACACCACGACCCCAACCTTACCCATCTACCTGTACCCCCCCCACTATGACCCCACCTCATCTTCTCTCCCCCACCACGACCCCAGCTCTTCATCCCTCCACCACCACGACCCCAGTACGCCCATCTCTCTCTCTCTCTCTCTCTCTCTCTCTCTCTCTCTCTCTCTCTCTCACACCTACACCGACAGCACTTCACATCCCGACCAATATTGTCTTATCCTCTCCGTTCTTCCTCTCTCACACGCCACCACCACCATATTCCTCCCTCCCTCATGAAGGAGACACAAATATATGATAATGATGACACACACTACAACTTAGCCTAACCTTACCTAACTTAATCTAATCTAACTTAACCTAACCTAACGCACTCCTAGTCCTACCCAACCCAAGCTGTTACTTGATTTACCCTAACCTAAATCTACCCAACTTAACCTAACCTAACCAGCCTAGATATGGTCAGGTTAGGTTAGTTTAAGATTAAATTGGATTAAATTAGATTACATTAGGTTAGGTTAAGGTTATATTAAGTTAAACTAATTAAAGTTACTATATAGTAATATGTTTTTCCACTGCAATATTTCTGTTTTAAAAAAGGAATCGCGGGGCGGAAAACCAACTGAGACCAATAAAATTATAGTGAATTGCCCGGACACCTGGGTGGGTCGCAGTGCTGTCAGTCACATCTGCTCACCCCAACTCCTCTCACTGTTCATAGTTCATGTTCGCGTCATTGTTATTGTTTGTTGCTCAAGTCGATTTAATTTTTTAAGCGACCGAGAGAAATATTGTTGCTGTAAGCGACCGAGAGGAGTATTGTTATTCTTTGTTACTCAAGTTGATTTCTTGTAAGCGACCGAGAGAAATATTGTTGCTGTAAGCGACCGAGAGGAGTATTGTTACTGCCTTAGGTTGGCTTGTTTTTGTAAGCGACCAAGAAAACTTCATTAAATCACTTACTACAGTAGATATAACATAAAGCTCAACTCACAATAATAGATATCATTAAGGTAAATAACGCAATAAATAAATAAATATAAGATAGAAGGACGATAGGATTTGGTTAGTAACAAAACACGGTAAAAAAAATAATAAACTGTACTCTATGAGCTCTTAATTTATATTCTCATCAGCGCCAAACGAACGAACACATACACACACACGTAGAACAAGAACTAAACCTAACCCAGTCGTATCCTCGCTTACATCAACCTCAAAACAAACTTCCTCTGAACAGTTTAAGTGAAGAAGAGTTCAAAATAGTACAAAAGGCAAGGCGGCAAGAACGAGTTAAAACAGATATATGTGTGTTTAAAGCGTCGGTAAACAAAAGCGTCCCCCGGAGTGTAATAAAAGTGGAGAGGCCGGGGGGGGGGTGTTGAGGAGAGAGAGAAGCCTTATGGTTAGCAAGAGGCTCTCGTGCTCCAGACGCTGTATTAACACGGCCAATTGAAATGGTGATGAGGGTGGGATGAGCGGTCGAGCCCCACACTTCCCAATGACTTCGTACCGTACTCTTGAGATTCGTCCATTCTCTGTTGATTTTTATGTTTGTTTTCCTATTTTCACGGACGTCCATAGGCCTATCAGTACTTTAATAACAATACCAGTCTTAATTAAGGAAACTAGTTCCCATACGCCGTAAACCTGTGAATTATAAACACTCTCAAGGTAAGTAGTTTTTCGTAGGTGAGAGACTTAAATGAAGTGAAAAACGGAATGTTAACTAAAACAGTACCGTTCACAACGCGGGATCACATTTTGTTTCTTCAGAGTCGAAATTTGTTTCCGTTCATTGACATCTACAAGGCGGTCTTGGAGTCTGCCTAAGTGTTATCCGGATATGAAAAGAAACCCAAAATAAAACACCATTAAAGTATTGCCTTCTGAACTAGACATGGAATATAAATACTGTTACATTTACCTCGGGAAGAGATAAACGAAGTAATGACGTTAACCACTGAAAATATCAAAACATCTCGGCATATTCTCTCACACATCAGCCTGTAAAATCTCACATTCCTCCCTGGTGAGATATGAGTCAGCACCAATAACACCCGTTAAAAAAAAAACATCCACAAAACTAAGGTTAAGGTTCAATAAATTACAGTAAAATGTTCAGTATAAAAAATCCCAATGAAAAATTCGCGCGAGGCTGGTGGTGAGTCTCACAGAAAACGGAGGAGTCGGCAACTCGGGTAATTGGGGGTGGGAGTCCTGTAGCTTGAGTAAGGCAAAGAATGCAAAACCCAGATACGTGTAGTTTGAGTACGACGGCCCAGTGTGTGTGTGTGTGTGTGTTTGTGTGCGAGGAGCGACAATGATCAGCTAGGAGATGAGTAACGTCTACTATAACACGATAAAAATTACCCGAAGATAAGTGGAAATGACAAAAACACGAGTACTGAGAAAAATTGCTTCCTCAACTCCCAAACATAAACAATTACCATTTTCTTACATACTATCACTTCAAAAACAACACTACAGGAACACATGTAAACACAGGTACAAGTTTTGAGTTTTTTACGCCACTGAATCTGAACACACAGATGGTAGAGGTCTTATATAACAGTAATTAACGCATCATCTCTCGAGCGTAATCTCTTCCTCGCGTCATAGAAATAGATGTTTATCCATTATTTGTCCAAATGATAGTACACTAGCACACGCCACACCAAATAACACATGACACACCTGATAACACATAACTCACTAAATAAGAATTAATAGCTTGTAAAAAAAAATCAGATCCTGCAACTATTTTTCAGTGTGATTCACGAGATTTGTCACAGTTTGTTTGTTTGGGAGGGGTTCACACGACAAGCTGGTTACTCTGATTCCTCTCTGACACTATATTTGGGCTGTGTTGTGACCCCTTCTAGCCTGAGAAGGGGGAGGAGGGGGTAACGGGTATGTTATATTCATTGTTTCGTGTTCTGTTTATTACGTATATCCTGGTAAGCATAACACGCACACACACACATACACACACACTAGTACATACACATAAGGAACGACACCCCACATATACACATAAACATACATTAAGGTGTATGTACAGTACACACAGAAATAAACATACACAAACAGGTACGACATTCATAAATAAACATGCGGGATATTTACGTACACACAAGGTAGACTAAATAATTTTCAGGGTTAGGGTACAGGAGGAAAACGGGGAAGTCAAATATAAACTTTTTTTTTGTTCCCGTTGTGTGTGTGTGTGTGTGTGTGTGTGTGTGTGTGTGTGTGTGTGTGTGTGCGTGTGTGTTAAATGGTGTCTTTGGAGGAGTGATATACTGTAACTGCTTGAATACGTTTACACTCAAATGCGGTTAATAAATCAAACAAAACATCTTGACATGAATTGTATT